ACTTTTTGTATTTAGTTTATATATTATTGAATATTTCATATATCCTTCCGATTCTGAAATGGCATCTGATAAATAAATATTAATGTAACACTAATATGAATACTAAAGTACATGGTTTTAAATTGTATTTAATATTTATAAACATAGATTTATAGCAGTGTGAAGAACGCACACTACAAAACTCTTAGGGCGCTAGCAAGTGGAGGAAAGGACGTCTCATTTTCACATATGTCCTTCTGAAAAGTGCAAAAAACGTATTAAGTTTCTATATAAGACTGTACAAATGAAATTTGATAAGTGTTGCTTTCTGGTTTAATTGTAGTTTTTCTTGTTTTATTTCTAAAGGAATAGTATATTAATATTCTTTCAAAAGCTAATTGTTACAAGTTAACAATATACTGTATTTACAGAATGTATACTGTAGCTGCACAGTAGAACAGTGAAACCTAATTAATATTATAAGTGCCTAGCAGCATTATAAGTGTGCAGTTCATTTATACAATATTAAATTGCTAATAGGCCTGCTGATGTAATGCCTTCTGGTGTGTCCTTTCATTGCCCAGGGGGAAGATTTCCACTGTCCCTTTTGTATGTGTAAATTTCATTGCTCCATAAGGCATTGTTTTCATGACACATTTGTTTGAGCAAATCAGTTAAGCATCATGTGGATCTATTACTTTACAGCAGAATCATTAATGTGACAACAGCTGAAGGCTTCACAGCCGAAACGTAGTGTTTTCTCTCTTCTCTTTACAGCATGGAATAAACCTATTACTTGTTGCTTTGCATCTTAAACAGACGTCTGACTTGAGAAGTCTGATGTCTTTTGTTTTCAGTTGATTGAGTTTGAAAATAATGCGATTACAAATGTACAATCTCTTCTTCTGTTTGTTCTTGTTTTCTTCTGCAGACAAGCACCATTGTGAAGAAGGTGGAACTAGTTTATTAAGCTTTATAATACGTATGTGAAAGATACTGTAATTTATGTCACAAAGAGTTAATTACGTAAACAAATTAAGGAAGAACACATACAGTAACTGTTAAAGATGTTCCTAATTCTAGTAAACTCTTTTTGGGATGGGAGATTCTACAGCCTGTTGAATTTATAATATAACTAAACCTACTAATATATAAGTATAATATATATATATTCTAATTAGGTGCAATTATCAGCTTTTTAATTATTTGGAATTGCTTATTCTTTTCTCATTTTAAACCCTCTTAACTTTGAATAATTATCTGCAAATCAATTCAACTCACCTCAACAGCCCTTGTACCAGCACAGAAGAAAACCAGAACTGCACACCATCTTCACCAATGAGCCCACAACAGAGCTCATTCAGAGCAGGTGAAAGCTTGGGGCCTATCAGCAGCACCACTGCAAGATCAGAGGTCCCAGTGCTTTGTGTTGCTTGGAAAACCAAATATATCATGGCAGACTTAAGCCCATCCATTCTAGGCAGTGTCTGGATAGCTGTACATACACGTCTGCATTGAATCCTCATTATAGTGACACAGCCTGAGCTTGAATAAGTAGTGTCTGGACTATAGGGCTCATCCTAAAATTACTTTATTAGTTTACTAGCTCTCAGGAGCGACAGGACCAGCACTTCAAAACCTTTTCACTCCATTTCGATTTGTGTTTGTGTCATTAAAATAGCTAATGGTTTCAAATCCCATTGACCTGACTATATTGAATAGATCTTTAAAAAAGCATTGTTTAAAACAATCTAAAGATAAAGGGTATGCAAATGTTGAGAGGAACAGTTAAAATAAACACATCAGAAGCACAATGAAGCCCTAAATCAGCCAGGCGAGGATAATTGAATTCATTTATTTATGTGCACATCAAAGGTAGAAGTTGAGCCTTTTAGTACTTTTGCTGCAATTCGTTTATTTCATTTCCTTCCTTTTTGTTCTCTTTGTGTTTTTTCCTGCCCTTTTTGTGGAGCAATCACCTTTAATATTCTTGTGATGACTACTACTGTAGAGCTGTGTTTTTAAACAGTGCTACAGTACCCTTTTGATATTGGTTAGGTATATGCGTCCATCTATTTTCTTGCCACTTTACCCAACAAAGGATCGTGGGGGAACCATAGCCTATCTCTGGAAACAGATCAGTCCTTCACAAGGCACACGCAGACAGAGACATGCACACACATTCACAACAGGGCAAATTTTCCCAGAAGCCATTTAACCTACCAGCATATCTTTGGACTATGGGAGAGAACTAGAGCACACAGAGGAAACCCACAGAAAGAACATACAAACTCCTCACAGATAACCCAAGTCTGGAATCAAACCCAGGGCCCCAGCACTCCAAGGCAGCAATGCTAACCACTGCACCACAGGGTTGCCTACATTGATATATAAAAACACTAATAAAATGACAAGGATGTGGTTTGTCAAAGAATCACTAGCTAGACAGAAAGACTCCCAGTGAAATTAATACACTACTATGCCTGTGTGCTGAAAAAAAAAAGTCAAGTTAGGTATTCCTTTGATTACCAGGAAGACTTGCCTATGAATAGTTCAGAGCTTTAAAAATGGCCTTTACAGGAGGTTTGTAAAACAGAACACGAATCAAAAGCATACATTTCTTTCTATTGTGGTAGAATCATTCATGTTCCTTGCAACAAAGACCTAAACAAACAAAAATTACATTTGCTGCACCCTGCCTGTAGAATACAGAGGGAAACCTGGCCTGGAAGCTGTTTGAAAAGAGAGTCCAAAATAAGACAGACTTACAGTAAATACAGTACTGCATAATTGATAGGCGTTGATCGTACTATGTGGGGACCTCTGTCTCAGCAATACTTTATTTGCAATACCCTTGCAGGAAAATAAAATTTACAGTTTTAACAAATGTATGGTATTGCTATGAATGGTTTTGCCCCTATTTGTTCAACTTTATAAATATTTATTGACATATACAAAACACATTGCACAAACATTTATGAGACTTATGCATCACCTTTTTATATATGATCCACCACTTTTAGCAGAGCTCTGTAAAGTTTGAGATACAGGCTATAGTTTGATCACTTCAAAAACAGGGAAGCATCTAAAGTAATCAATGACATAATCTATGACATCTCTCATCATTGTCCATTGTTCCTGTGTTATGCAAATACAATTAACAAAACAACTCACCAAAATACTTGGTACATTAGCTGTATTTGTCTTAAATAATGCATTTTTCTTAAATAATGCAAAAACAAACACATAAATAAACTATGCACAGGTCTCCAATGTTACTCTGCAGCACAAAAATCTCAAGATTCTGCTGGTAATGAGAAAGGCTGTACACAACATTTGACATTTGGAGCCTAAGCAACGAGCTGCATTTCAGTGATTTGTAAAAATAACCAAGCTTAATCTTAGTCACCAGCAAAATATTGTTTTAGGCTTTCATTATGTTTTATGGCTATCCTCCAGCTAATTGGAAAAATCCAATTATTTTTCTGATTGATTAGAGGGTTTTGGAGCAACTAATCAAATCGAATTTTGTATAACTAAATGCAGAATTTTCAAAAAAGGCTTTCTAACAGCCCCACTGAATCAAGTTTCAAGATGGTTTTTCTTCTCTTAAAGATTTAACTTTAAACTTGCCAGACATACTGTCCAGTATTTCAACAATCTTCATACATTAGCTTCCCATGGAGCTTTGAAAAATTACAGTATAACTTTATTTTGTTATTGCTTTAATCTTAATAACTCACTATCAGACCTGTTTTATGACCAGCAGTTTTATTTTCATATCAGTTCTGAATGCGGTATCTTTTCATCTATTCAACTAGTCACTGAAGATTGATGATTTGTGATGTAACAGCTGTGGACATAAATAAAAAGTCTGAGCTGGAGAATTGATTCCACAAGCAGTGAATATTACATTACTAGTGTTTTATTTATTTGATATTTTTTCAAGGCCACATACAAATAAACCTTTTATATACACTATTAAAAGTGGGAAACTTTGGAAACAAATATAAAATACATAATTACAAAGAGACAAACAGGAAATAAATTACATGTATTTCATTTATTCTAAAAGCTTACTGCATATTGGGCTTTGCACATTGTTTTACATACAGTACCAATGCATACAAAATGTAATATTTATGTCCATTCATCAATCCATTTTTTAACCACTTCATTCAGATCAAAGTTGTGGGAAAGCCGGAGCCTATGCCAACAAGCAACAGGTGCTAGCCAGGATACATCCTGGATAAGAGCCAGTCTATCGTAGGGCACTCATGTAGACACAAACACACATTCACATTAGGGTCAGTTTTCCCAGAAGCCAATTAACCTACCAGTTATGTTTTTGGATTATGGGAGGAAACCGGAGCGCCCAGAGGAAACCCGTGTGAACATGGTGAGAACATACAAACTCCATGGAGATAGCACCCTGGGTATGGAATTGAACCCAGGACCACAGTGCTGCAAAGCAGAAATGCTAACCACGGCACCATCATATCATATATACCATACTGTTTATATACTGTGTACTCATTGTAAATTCTCTTCTCAATGATAGCTGGTGTGTGGTGATGCATACTGGCGAACTATGGCTACCATTGCATCAATCAGGTTAGGCTACATATTGGTGTTGATGAAGGGAAGTCCCCATTACCCATTAAGCGCTTTGAATATATTCTCCAAAAAAAAGTGCTATATACTGTAAGTATAAGGAATTCTTATACAAACAGTATGCTCCATTTTGTTTAAACGTGAATATACACATTTATTGTATTATTATATAATTTACATATAATAACATATAATAAAATTGTATATAAAGTTATTTTGCCCACAAAATTATTGGTTGAAATACAGATTAAAAACTACAGTTCAGCTATATCCAGAAATAAAATCCCAATAATTGTTCTTTTTGTAGTCTGACAAACCACGCATTCAATATACTGACATCTTTAGCGTTTCTAAATTCGAAGATATTGATTGCTTTAAGGAAATTATCCTACCAACAGAGAGCGCTAGTAAACTTGACTTTTTCCAGGTGTGCGCAAACCAGCGGCACGTAATCGAGTAAAAAAGTACAGATCTAGTCACGGTAAGGATGATTTAGAGACATTTGCTTCGTTTAATTATTTTTATTAGTGTATAATTGTATTTCCCGCAGGCAGAAACTTTAACTAAGTAGCCTGTAATGGAGCTTATAGATGGTAAAGTTATCGATTTTTAAACAGTAAACAGTTTACTCAAAGTTTTGAACTTCCTGGATGTACAGTACTGTAAGAAGGGGCTACTGTACCGTACAGTATGTCAGATTTATGATAAAATGGTGTTTCATTAGTATAAACTAAGTAAGCTGTACAATGACACTTCCGGAGAACTCATTTAACTTTTTTGAGCAGTCAGTATATTTTATATAATACGATGAAACGTATTTGAGTCATAGCTCAAGGTGATCTACGTATTATGTCGCATTCTTTTCGCGTGAAGCCGTGTAATCATACAGTAGATACAGGTGTTGGCATTCTCTTTCTATGACAAATCCTGTATTAGTTCACTTGAAATTGTGTTTTCTGTGTTATCTATACATAATGGTCGTAAAACGTAAAAAATTATTGACACAAATACAGAAAAAAGAAAGGTACATTGACTATAACAAAGGGTAAGGGTTGAAAAAAGGTTTCACCGAGGAGACAAGGCTACGGAATGCAATATTATGAAGGACCACTAGGTGGTATATTTGTATAGCTAATACTATCCTAACAACTACTGTTAACCATTATATGAATCGATCTTTTACTTTATGAATATTTTTCCAATTTAGTCCTCTTTTGTTCCATAAATGTCCGTAAATCCCCAATATAGTGTTATAATATAGAGCTATTGATCAATACATATCATATTTATGTATCTTTGCATCAGAAAGAAGACTTTCAGAGTGGTGAGGAGGTAATTCATGTGAACTGATCTGCATCACTGAACACTGAAGGTGAGACTTGCACTCACTGTACACCAGTGACACCTTCTTTTCTAGTGTGCCCTAGAAAGGCTGTTAGAACATGGGTCAGGTAAGGGCTCTGTGGCTGCTTTACTGGATATTTTTGTGTTTTTCAGTCAGCAGAATCATATATGTTGTGTTTGATCAGGTATCTGTCTGAAAAAGAACAACATTACATTATATTACTTATTTTTCATAGAAAAAAAGTATTTACATGACACATACAGTAATAAAATGCAGCAGTGGTTGTCTTATTGTTGGCAAATATTCATCAATTGATTGCAAAGAAAGTGAGCTCCAAATGTAGAACACAGTCAAAACTTTGTGTTGGCACTTTCTTTCTACAACAGTATAATGTACTAATTTTGAGTCATTAACATCGTTTTTAAACCGCACCTATTTGATAAGAATGTCCTAATAACTTGTTGTAAGGATTTTTAGACCTCATTTTAGGTAAAATGACAGAATGCTTTTTCTACAGCTCTATATCCTTGCTATGATGAATGATGAACTGTACAATACATTTAGAGGAGACAGTGTTTTTAAATAAGTGTAGTTTACCAGCAAATTTATGGTCAATATATTAGTATTTCTGAAAATTGTCTTATTCTCTTTTGCATTTAAACATACGTATTCCAGTAATAACATCTTATGGTTCTCATGACAGAGAGCAGTGATATTCTGCATGTCTTCATCTAAGGACTCAGGGATTTATTTTTATTATATTGATTTACCCTGATTTAGAACAGCAGTTCAGCTTGAAGAAAGCTAAATAAACCTTAAGAGTATACACTAGGCAAAAGTCTCTCACTAGAGAGAAAAAAAAACTTTCTTGTGGAAGTGTTTCACTGTGTAGCATGCAGGCATATATTCATAATACTGTACGTATATTCATAAAAATCAAACATCCAAGCTTAAAGTGTTATTTTAACAAAGGTTTTGAATACATAGATTTAAACTGGTACAGATGGAACTTCCGTGAAATCACACAAAGGATCTAGGTTTTAATCGTTCCTAGTGCATCAAGTGCTCATAGTTATTGCTTTGTAATCCATGAAAATATCTGCCATATGGTTCCAATTCTGGTTTTATTTACTGTTTTTGAAGGGGTACGGAAGCATATTTTTAATAGTATATGCATGTGTTTTAAACAATAGAAACAAAGTAATCAGGTTAAAAAACAGACTGGACTTCATTGATTTATCCTCAGATTAGAATTGTATAATTTACCAATTTATGCCTCTCATAGACAATATAGTTATTAGACATGTAGTATCTGACCTTTATTTTGACCTACAACTAATATAAGTGTGTTAGGTATTGAGCATGCACTAAGCTCTGACCTTAAAATTATGAATCATAAACGTAATTATTGACAGTTACTGAAAAACACACAGTCACAAGTCACAAAGACAGATTATGTGGGTATACAATGCTGGGGAAAATGTGGTTTTGTGTCCTGAAACTCACTGTACTGAACAGGCTTTCTTCTCATTTATTCAACAGAGCTCCACAAAAACCATAAAATAAAGATTTCTGATGGTTCTTTAAGTCAGACGGGAGCTGAGCATATGTCAAAGGCAAGTATTAATGTGTTTGTCAGTAATTTTCCTGTGATTTGATTAAATGCTAACAAACATTGACATCGAAGCTAAGCCTGTATTGCAGCCAAAGTGCAAAGTGTGACCTAGTAGAAAATAGCCATGTCCTCTCATCCTCCAAGACAGCAAGCCACTTCTTATTTCAGCCTGATTCTGCATTGTAAATAGCAGGGCTAAACTTTCAGCAGGCGTACCTGTCCTGAGGACTTAACCTGGCTTAGCTGATCCAAGTGATGGATGTTGCTTTAGGCCAGACAGTAAACTGATATACTGTAATTGTCAATCGGGAAAGATCTGGGAATGGGTTACGTCTCACAGATATTGGACAATAGAATAGTATGATACATTAGCAGTACTGCATAACCTAGCACATTTCACTTATACGGTATCTGGAAATGATTATTTTTCTGAGAAAGGTGTATTTCCACTATTTCTCACCTCCAGTGTTTTCTCCAATGCTACTTATAGGTTTGCTTAAAGGTTACACATGGTGTGGTTTGCATGGAAGGTACATGGGGCAACACCCCACCACCACAGATGCAGTACTGTATATTTAAGCCCTAAAATTAAGATTGCCAGTTTTGCATCACCTTAGTGTGTGATTGAGTAGTAGAGAAGGGAATATAAATCTGGGAGTTCTAGACTGTGGGAGTGTTCTAAGTTCTATTATCACATGACACTTGTTAAGGATGAAAAGGCATGGAATAAAATAATAGCTGGTTGTTAGATTGATGTGAAAGTTACCACTGCATGATCCAACTGTGCTCCTGCTTTTTTTCTTATTATAGTGACATGGTAAATAATATGCTTGGATTCCTTCATTATGTCTTACTTCACCTAATCAGGAGATATTTTTGAAGTAGTTAAATAAATCCTAGGATTAGGTTTTATTTCCCTCCCTGTATTTTCCAACCTAGGAAGCACAGGAAGAAACACAAATGCAGACTACAGGAGTAGCAGAATGCAGATATTTGTGGCCACAAACTGTTCCCAGGCCACCACAGAATACAGACATTTCTTGTTGCATTAGGTACTGTTATGATTCAGTGTCATACAGTAGGTGAAGCTGTGGTCTCCTATAGCTGCACCATGACTTATTATTGGAAATTGCAAGGCTACAAAGGCTTCATCTGTAGGCCATCACAGGATTTCCAGCGACAAATTATTTAAAGCACTAAAAAGTAGATTGAAAATGCTGGAAGGCACACTTGGTTGCAGATCTTTTTTTACTTTTTACTGAAATACTTTAGGTGCTCCATGGTATATTTTAACCATTTTTTTTCTGTCTCATAGCTAGAGCTATAGAACTCCAGTGAGAAATCTGTCTACACTGGTCATTGGCTTTTTTAACGGATATTCAGTAGCCAAACCTCTACATTTTCTTCAAAAGACATAACACAAAATGCACCGTTGGTTAATATTTTATTGTTTGACTCTAACATCCCAGAAACTGACTTTATATGGTGTGTTGGCTCATAAGCAGAAAAATACAAAGAACAGACAAGCTCTTTTTGCCTGGAGGAACATTAGAGTACACTTTGTTTGGTTTACTGTCTGCGAACTGTGGATATTTATCCTTAATTATCCTTTTTCTCTCAAAACCAGTATGTGAAAATTCCAGCTGCATTTTTGTACGAAAGGGTAATGTACATTTGTTGATCTGTTCTTTTTTTACTTTTGAGTTAAAAGAGCTAACATAAACAGTGACCAACAAAATAATGTGACTTTGAATAAACACACATAAGCACATGTTTAGTGGGAAAGATGATTTTGAAAACAGTTTTAAAGGAATTATCAGAGAAAAAGACAGAAATTCTTTCTTTTCCCTATATTTATAAAATTGCCTTTCTAGTTTTAAACTTTTCAATGACTTGTGTTGTGGCTCTAAAAGACAGATAAGTCATCATGCTGGTGAAGTATTGGTGTATATGATACAGCTGAATCTAGATTTGGCTTTCAACTGAAGTTCAAGAGAAAAAAACACAAATTATTAAAATGGGATGCATAAGCGGAGTGATATTGATAAATAAATACCTTCCAAGTGTTTATATAAGTTATGAAAATGTCTATGACTATTCTACTACCAATGTTCCTGTGAAAGGACTTCTCAAATTTGATTTTTAGAAAGGAAACTAGGAATGAGACACTCCAGGCTGTACTACATTTCATAAAGTCATTTCCTATCATTCAACCTGTGGAAGACTTAGAAGAAACTTTCAAATGAGGAGCTGCATCAGTGTGCATTGGCTGTAAAGGAACAAGTAAAGGATGATTCCACTTGAAAAGTGATGCTTGTTTCCCTGAGATCTGGCTTTCTTGTCTAGATTGACTATCAGCACCTAGGTCTGACTGTATTGCGCCAGCAGTGCCAGGCTCTGCAGCAGCCCCTGTTCTGTGAAAGACAACAGGACCAAGTCATCTACATAGAGCAGGAACTTGATCTCTGTGTCATGTATTGCGAGACCAGGAACTGCAGACTGTTCCAACATTCCTGCTCATTGATATAGATATTGAACAGTGTTGGGCTCAGGCTGCAGGCCTGTCTCACCCCATGACCTTGGGTGAAGAATTCTGTCCTTTTGTTTTCAAATTTCACTGCACATTTGTTCTCTGAATACATTACTTTAATTATGTCATACACGTCACCCCCTATGCCACTTTAGTGAAGTTTATTAAACAGTCCTTCATCCCCAAATCGAGTCAAATGCTTTCTTGAAATCACTAAAACAGGCAAAAAAAATGTCTTTGTCTTTTTGGTGGATGTGTTTGGTTATCAGTGTGTGTAGGATGTAAATGCTATCAGATGTGCGGTGATCTCCTAAAAAGCCAATCTGACTTTTACTCAGGACATTGTATTCCATAAGGCAGGTCAGTATTTGCGTATTCAGCATACTGCAAAATATCTTCCCCAGATTACTGTTCACACAGATGCCCCGGTAGTTGTTGGGATCGAGTGTGTCTCCACTCTTATATAAGGGAGTGATCAGTCCTTGATTCCAGGCCTCAGGAAAACATTTGACTTTCATGAAAAGTTTGAACAGGGCTTGTTGCAACTTCGAGCTGCTGTGTCTCAGCATCTTGTTGCTGACTCCATCTTGGCCACAGGCTTTGCGTGGTCTAAGGGCCTGGAGTTTGTCCAGTAGCTCCCGCTCAGTAATCAGTAATTTTTGTTGTCTTTAATAGTCAATTCCAAAATATTGAGTTTTTCATAAATGATATATTGGTCTGATTTGTTTGTATTTGGAAGCATTTGGTACAGATGATCAGGTATATGTAGCTGGATGTGTGCTTCAATGTGTTGTTGTTGAGTGTGAAGTGATACTTGTTTTCCTGAGGTATGGCTTTCTTTTGAAAAGCCATAACTCTGGTCTTGTCCAGATTGACTGTTTCAAAGTACAGTATGTTTGCCAGATTGTTCCATTTTGGATGGCCCATCTGGTTTTGATTTATCTAAAGTGTTTCACTTCTCCCAGAAGCAGTTCTGATTTAGTGACTCCTCAATTTCTGAGAGTTATTTGTTTATGTGTGTTTTTCTTTTCTTTTTCAGCATGTGATTGTAATGTTTTACCATTTCACAGCAGCTGAGGCACAGATCTGTGTTGTGTGGTTGTCTGTGTTTTTGATTCGGGAGTTTTCGTTGTGCTTTTCTGATGTTGTTGCATCAGAAATCAAACCACTTTTCTTTTGCTTTTGCTTTTGTTTTTTGGTGGTGTTTTGCTTTTGTTGTTTTTAGCTTAGATTTTGATGCTAGTTTGTGAAATAGGTGATTTAGTTTTTGTGTGGCCAAGTTGATGCCTATTTTGTTGGTTTGATACAAAGTGTTTACAAATGTGTCTAATAGTGTCTGGATTATCTCACTAGACTTCTAAAGCTCTCATCTCATTTGTACAAAGGATACGCAGAAGCCCACTGAGGTGGTTGGTTGTAAAAGAGTCTCCTTTTGGACAGTGGAGGATGTGTATGAGTGGGTTAAAGGACAATACCCCTGCCACCAAGCAGCCTTCCTGCTAGCAATTGAGAATCATGCAGTATCAGGTAAGTAATAGTCACAGACTGTAGCACTGATCACTGTGAGAGAGTTCAGTAGTCCGCATCAGTAACAGGACAGTGAGGCTCCATGCTGCCGGCCTTAGAGTGTCAGAAGCCCTCTGCTCACACCTCCTAGACATCACACCAGACTGGCTTGGCCAGACAGAGGTTGCGATGTGCTCGTCAGCAGTGGCATCAGGTCCTCTTCAAGGATGAGTCACTTTTCACCCTGTTCCACGCAGACAGGAGGGCCAGAGTGTGGAGGAGGAGGTGTTGCATTTCTTTTTTCCATCAGTATATATTATAAAAAGCAAACACAACAAAAGCAGTTTCCTCTCTATAACACAAGTGAATAGCTAAGCTGCTTACCTGCTTCGAAACACACACGGCTCTTTCCAAAACTAAAGTTTCTCAAGAATATTTTTTTCCCCAAAATACTCTTTTTTAGATTTTTTCAAAAACTCAATCATTGTCAGTTGCTTCTTTTTCTGCACCTATGTACAGATGTTCTGCTAGATTCCCAGCTGTAGAGTTGATGGCCAAACTAGTGACCTCAGTTTCCTTCAACCAACCAATGGTCTTCCTCCAGATGGTCAGGTGACGGAGGATGGCAAGTCATTTCTCATTGCCATCTGGAACCAACATTTTGCCTGAATGTAGTACACTGTTCATTGCTCTTATCCACAGGTGCTTGTCAGTATCACAACACGTTTAATACTACTAACAATGAGTGTAAGAATTAATTTCCCTAACAACCATGTTTTCATGTATTTTATACCTTTTAGGCATTAAATGTGTCTCTTACTGTCCTTGATTAACTGAACATTATATACAGTATTTACATGTATTTATTGTAAGGTATAGTAAACCTATTGAGACATTCTTTCTATCATCCAGAGAAATTTCTTTGACAAAATCTAGTATGCCCTGGTCCTTTTCTTCATCGCATCATAAGTAATGTTTATTTTATTATACAACTATCCCCCTCACTCTACTGACATAACTGTACATGTACAGTAACATGCCCTGTCCAAAAGATATTAAAATGATAGCTATGTCAGCATGCATAAGCTGTAAAGGTTTATTCTGTGCTGAAAGGAAAAGAAAAGAGATACAACGTTTTGGCTGTGAAGCCTTTATCAGGTGTGTGAGGTTCAGGTACACACACCTGAAGAAAGTTCCACAGCATAAACATCTCTTTTCTTTTCCTTTCAGTATGGAATAAACCTTTACCTGTTCTTTCAAATTATAAAATATATATATACAGTAAGATACTTAATGCTAACAAATCTATTATACTTTAGAATGTGGAGAAATGTGATACTGTCTGAAGTGTTATACAGTATACAAAAAATATTGTCATCTTTCATTTTTTAAAGTATCACTTTTTTAATCCTTCAAGTACCTTTAATTTGTTTTGCTAAAAATACCAAAATAAAATACAAAATATACCCGAAGGTAAAATTATTCAATTTAATTAAGAGTCCAGTTTACCTTTAAGGTAATAAGTATGGAAAATAAAGATTGAAAGGACAAGCTACATACTGTATGTAAGGAGTAAATGAGTTGAAAAAGGTAAGTATCCTTTATTTGTGCACTTTAGTCAGTAGAAACTAATAATATAAGAAAAGTTACTAATCATAAGGGATAATCCAAAACATATATAGAGCTCATTTGGTTTGCTAAGAGCTTTTTGGTCCAAGCATTTTGTACACCTGTTTTTTAAAGTGTCTGGGATGTTTGAGCTTCTTGCTCTAGTCATTCTTGTACTTCTGTCTTGTTTGAGGCACATTACTGCAGTGCTAGAACCTGAAGTAAAAACATGGAAGGCCTTTAATAGGACTTAATCTAAATTTTATAACTATATTCAGCCTTTGATCAGGTTAGCCTGAGACTTTATTGTATTTTTTTATCTAACGTTCCTTGTGGGTTTTGTTTGTTCCCAGTTTGTTTAAATGAACTGTTACTCTTGATTCACAAGGCCGGGCTCTGCTGAGGATAAGTAAGAACACCCTGGAAAGGATGGGAGTAGGGCCAGAACAGCACCCGGAGATCCTTTATGGCGTGCTGCACTTGAGACTGCAAGAAGAGGTGGAAAACCTGAATGACATAGTGTCTGGTAAGGAGGGAAATCACTCAAAAAGTTCTACTTCAACTATGAGAAACTCATAGAAAAAAAAAGTTAGTGGGAAATAAATAAGGGTCTCAGGATCCCTACTTTGCTTTCATCTAGTCATAAAAACATATGGTATAATCTCCTTCCTGTTTGCTGCCTGTCAATTTACCACCTCCTCTTTCACAGTCTCTATATTGATTATTTTTACTTAAGTTCTTAAAACTAAAAAATCCATGATTTTGTTTGTCTCCAGCAAAAAAGCAACAGTCTTTTTTTTTACGTACACAGGTTAAGGCGTGCTATCCTTTTGAAAGAGCTGTTAATGTGTCTCATGAAGAGCAAGCTGGAGCATGCGAAAAAGATAAATTTCTAATGCAAGAAATTCTATATGGCCAATAAAGTGATCTTCTCTTATCTTATAATGATAAGCGATTTATAGTGGCACCAGGGATCTCATGCATGCTATGTACTGTACTGCATGTGGTAGCTACATTTTTCTTGCAGTTCTACATCTAAATAGATCATTCATATATTTATTATTATATACATTACATAAATGTAAGGTCTTCATAAAATGGACTTACTAAATTAGATATTATTTTTGCAAAGAAAGTTCAAGTTCAATGAACAGTGAAGCACAAACAAGAGGGCACAAGTGCAAACTAGAGTATGTGAAAGTGAATAAAACAAGGATGCACTACTTTACCCATTGGGTTGTGGTAATATAGAACAAGCTTCTCATTCATGTTGTTGAAGCTGATACCCTGGCTTTTTTCAGGAAATGGTTAGGTGAGATCCTTGGATTAATTAATTACTAATCACCAAATGGTCAAATGGCTCTTATTTGTAACTTTTCTAATCGTCTTAAGAACAGTTTAATCTTTTTACACAATATACAATAAGCTCTGTCTTGAAAAATTGTGATATAATTTGTATTCAGAATGCAAAACAATTTTCTGGAAATCAAGTTTCAAATATTTGGTATAATAAATACTATCCAGTCTATGCTATGGAGTTAGCAGAATAAAATTGTTGAAAAAATCAGTGAATAAAACTTTTTGTGTACAGTATATAGCAGAATGTTAATTTTAATAAAAACATAATTTATTAGTGTCTTCATTGTAATAGTATACTGTAGCAAAACCTCTGTAAAATTATATAAAGTTATAACACTGTGACAGATTGGATCAGTATAAACAATGAGCAGTCTTGGACAAAGTACAGAAAACTAAGAACATCTTCTTGAAAAGGCTAATGCACATCTTCAAACAAATTGGCACAGCCGCTAAGTAAAATACGAACATTTAATGTGTTTTTCATCAGTACTGTGAAAAAGCAGCTCCTTTGAAGCCACTTCATATCAGCAGGCATGAAAGAAGGTGGAATTTATAATGGAGAATGTTGTGAACAAAATGTGTTTTGGGATAAAATTGTTTTAATAGAATACCAAATTAAATGAATGCATCTGTAGTGGACATCAAACAAACAATATCACGATGAATTTTGCAACCGTACAAGGATTTGAACACCGCTAAGATATTTAGAGGGATTTGTGTGCTTTGGGGTACTAAAATGGTAGAACAACAGAAACACAGTTTTCCAGCCACACAACCACAGTGACTGGAAACACAGGGCCAGGATATAGCCCTGCTATTACCTCTTTATAGTGATAGGGGGCTAGTTTGAAGTTTTAATGGGGATGTTAAACTTCATATAATTCATTTGTGAGTAGGAGTTGTAAACCCATGGCCAGATCCATTCCTGGTTTATATAAACCATGTTGTCTAAATTCCTCTGTAGATTTACAGATTCTCTGAGGAGGCATTCCTTACCCAGTTATTGTTTGGTATGCAGGCAAAGAATGTAATGGAAACCTCCAGAGTGCTTTCAGTACTTAAATGTGATTAATTGCTGCATTTTGTGTCCTTCTGCTTTTTCACATTCTTAATAATCATACAGTACTGTATGTTGACATTGAGTGATTTTCAGAGCCATTTGCTCCAGAGAAATATTTGTCAGTCTGAAATTATGAATTGTGAAAGACACACATCCTCAAAGAGTAACAGAATAGAAACAAACTGAAAAGTGTATTCTGTTTAACATAATTTTGTACCACTGGCTTAATTAATTGGAAAAACAGGAGAAAATGTATGCATGTGAGAGTTGTGAAATTTGCTCGCCTTATACACTATATCTCTTTTCTGTTTTATGTTAATACGAATCATTCAATTAAGTCACACTTTTTCCCTGAATGTGTGGTAAGCCATTTGGTTTTCCTTTGAATGGAGCATTGCATTAATTGAAATGACCCATTTTCGTAAGAGTATTTTGTAATGAAAGCTTGGGAGGGATGAACTAAATTCTCCTTTACTTATGCTGATCTAAACCATTATCCTCCATGATGTTACTTTCCTTAAATCTATAAATGTTATGGTATTCCCTACCTTCCTTGCTTTCATATGTTTGCATTCACTGCTACTATGCCAGTGTTACTCTGATAATTTCTTCCTCTCTATTTTTTAATTTCTTTGCTGAAATAAAAAAAAATGAGCAATTCAGGCAATTTCAGGCTATTTTTTAAGTTCTTTGCTGCTTCATTCTCTCCTTGAAATTCTCCACTATTTTGTGATGGATTCATCTCGTTCTCATTCCACTGTTTTTGTAGGAGCCCATCCTGCTTCCAATATCTGCTTGTGACATGGCGGTTTTTGTCGCTGTCTATGGAGTGACACAGTAAGCGCGCTGAGCCTGTGTAGAGATGCACTCGTCACATACAGTACCAAATTCATTTAGATTTGAATACAAATAGGCTTTGAGTTGATTTTCAAAGTTTATTTTTTTAACCTACAGTAAGTGTGGATTTGGCTTTGCTTTCTTTTCTAGAGCGTTTCACAACATGACTGGCTGTGCCATGAAGAAAGACTTTTAATATACTTTCATTTCTGTATTGGAAAGAGAAAGGTTTCAGACCCCTCAGAATCACTGACCTGTAGAGCACAAGGAGATTAGCTCCTCTGAGGGGTTCTGTGCTTGGCCGTCTCAGTGTATCAAGTACCCCTTTCAGCTTTGTGTTTCTCTTTCTTTATAATGCTCAATAAACTGCCCAGCTGCTTTTACAAATGGCCAGACCAATAACTTACTAAGGGGAAACATCCCATTTAACAGGAGATGAAGTGCAGCCTTCATCTGGACAAAATACCATTATAACAGACATAGCACTGATTTGGGATAGATAATGGTTTGGTGTATTACCCTCTTGAGACCTTGTCTGAATTAAAATGGAGAGTAAGTAAATTAGTCCAGAGTTTCCTGCAGTTGTGCATGGTTATAATTTGGATAATAGCTTGGTGTTACAGTTACCTATTACACAAAACAAGGGGAAGTAATGAGAGAGATTGTTTTATGAGTAGTATAGGCACAAAGTAAAAAGCTATTTTTTTAGGTTGTGCTTTTAAACTAAGGGGGGTGGAGGAATAAACCACGTATTTCTTAATATTGTAAATTTCAGAAATGAATCTTAACCTTTATATAGCCTACTTAGTAACTTAGTTGGCCTGTCCTACTACAACAAATTGGGAATTGTGTGAAGTGGAGTAAATGACTGCTGGGAGTACATATGGAAGTGGCACCATGGGAGCATGTTCACATGGACAACAGCAGTGAATAATAACCATGCACATTTGTGATATGTTCTATGTGAACACAAGCTGACACCGTGACATATGGTGTTCACATTCAGGCAATGTGAAGCTCTCTGGTCCGTGCTGCCTCTGTCCTTTGGAACAGTTCCCCTTGGTCCCGTTTGCTTTTGTACCAAATGTCAATTTGTGTTTTTACATACCATTCCAGGGGGATTGCCCATGATATAAAATGGTATAAAGTATAAAGACTTTTATGTGCTAAGATAAAAACTGAAATGCCATTACTGTATATGGCAGTGGAACAAAATGGCCTGCACTAATCCTATTTCTAGGTCTCGCGTTTTCAGTTTCCCAGTTTAGGATTTTCTGCTGTTCTGTGCCAAAACATTTTTTTAAACCGTATTTTTTTAAAACAGAAATTGATATTGATTCTACAGTTTTTACTAGGAGAACCATGAAATAAAACCTTATTTGATCAAATGCAATTGAATTTTCTGTGGTATATTGCTTATTGTAATTATATTGAGAATATATTGTCGATTAAATTTAAAGCTAAACAACATAAGAAATAAGCTGAAAAACTATTTAGTTCTTTTCACAATTATTAAAGTATTTATCTGTCATTCGTGTGAAAATCCATTTATCTATCCATTATCAGAAAGCCACTAATTCCTGGAAGTTCAGGACAGCTCTGAAGTAGACTAGAAGCATAGAGCACAAGGTGGGATGTACTGTAGGAAACATATTAAAGGTAGAATTTAAATAGAGAAACCAGACAGGATGTCCTTGGGAGGACCATGAGGAATCCACATGAGAAACATGCAAACTCCACATGTAAGACATCCCCAGGTGGAATTTAAAAATGTTTTGAGGCTACAGTTTTACCTCTCATGCCATCATGTTACAGTACTCTCACTGCCACAACACTTTGTCATACTGTAGGTCAGTCTTGTATTCAGGCTTATAGCCATATTTAAATCTGAGCTGTCTCATGATACAATACTGCAAATGCTGCAAACCATCAATCCAAGTAATTAAAAATCCACAAGATCTTGAAACCACTGTGGATTACATCTACAGTGATGTAAAGTGTGTTCTGAAACAATATGACACCTTCAATATTATAATGTTCAGGAGTACCGTATGTACAGTACCTAAGAAGTACCCTTTTCTTATGCATAAAGGTGTATCGTTCATATAAATTAAAATTTCACTTTTTTTTGTTTTCATCTCATCCACAGTATGTGTGGGAGAAGGACATTTATTATACAGTATGCACATTGCAACATAATTAAACAGCAGTGGGTTAAGCTGTAGCAGATGCTCACTTCTGGCTTGTCTCTGCATTTTATTTACAAATAAAACAATCTTGTAAACTTGGGGAACTTTTGCAAGTAGGATTTTATGAATGACAGTTGTCATTAAAGTATAAGAAACTATACTTATTCACAATAAAATTAGTACAATTGTAATTTAATCGGTCAGGAAGTTATCGTCTCCAGAAGTTCACATGATAAATTGTTGCATTGTTTATAGGATATTGGGACTTGATTAATTCTGAACTCAGACTTCCTCAGGTTATTTATTCCAGTGTGAATGGGCATTTCAGTTTCATAAACGTCAATTTAAAAAATGGCCAGTACTTTGCTGCTATTGGATTAAAGGCCAGCCTTGTGCCAAGGGACAGACAGCCTACTTAGATTAAAAAAATAGCTTTAGTATAATGTCAGGCAAGAAAAACTATGGGTGCATTCTAGTTACTGATTTAAAGAAAGACTGAATTAACCGTAGCAACAGGATTATTCAGTACCTGTGTTTGTTGTTAATTCTAGGGAGTAAGCAAATCATGTTTATTTAAATTATTGAAAAATGTAAGGAAATGGTCATTGTGGAACAATATGTTTTTACACTTGAAGTATTTTGACAAAAATAAGGATATATGTTAATACAGTATAAAGCCATAAATTTAGTGTGTTTCTTTCTAGGCATGCAATTGCACATTATAAAATGTATTGTACATGTGTGTACCATTAATTCCAAACCCTTTCTGATTTATCTGTTCACTCCTAATTCCCCCACAGCATTTGCTATCTAACTGTTTTTGGAGATGTCAGAAGGAGCCCTCTGGTGCACTTGGAAGCCTTGTTCAAGAAACAGAATTTGCCTGGATTGAGAAAGGAGGGGCCCAGCCTGAGATGATACCATTCAAAGATAGAGATACAGTATTCAAAGGGTTATAAAAGACCTACAGAACAGATGCCACAAGATTAAGGAAAATAAAAAAGAAGATCCAGTATTTATTAAGTTAGGATTTAATAGTAATGAATTTGTGCCATTGAGTCCAGAAAATTCAGACTGTTATGACAGTTGTTTTAATTTCATATTTTCATTATGTCTCTGTAAAGAATTTTGGAACAACATAGAAAATACCACAGTGCTATGATATTAATTGACATTGCCTTTTAAATTATGTCATCCAGTCATTCCCAACCAATCCATTATTTTGGATTTCAAGGCAAATAGTTAAGACAGTCTATCAGTTAAATAACAAAAAAAAGTCACCAATTAGAGTAAATATACTGTACAGTATGTGTTCTCAAGTTGTTCACTGATTTTACAATAATAAAAGGCCATCTGAGACAATTCTTTATATACCACTCTTGCTTACATGTAGCATGCAATTCACCTGCTTCACAGACTGTGCCTTTTAACCTTGTAATCACCTTTCTTTATCTTTCAAATCTTTTAAGTACTGTTGGAGTTAAAACTGTAATAGTTGTATGGTCACTTTCCGAGAAATCCTAAAAACATTTCTATCATATCAAACATCTCTGTTGACTCAAGATTGTTTTTTTGTGATTTTCACTTTTCCAAAGTCTATTTTTTGAATGACATATCTATGCGGATGTAATTGAAATTGCTTGAGATGTACATCACCAATTTTGATCGTTATGAAGGTACTGTAACAAGTGATGCTTCTCCTCAATACATTCTTCTTCCTCACATTGTTAAAAGTCCAAAAATACACATCTGGCACTTGTGATAAGCAAGTGAAAATGAAGTATTCAGGATTTTCAGAACCTACTGTCATGCCAAACAGGAATGTTTCCACGTATTACAAGTGTACTGTATGTTAAGTTTATTAATATTATGCAGCAATAACAAGTTGTTTTATGGCTTCTATGTTGACTTCTTTATGAGCACCCACATTTTGTACACACGTGCTAAAAAGGTCTAGAGCAGAATGCTTTAGTTCCTTTGAAACTAAAAAACATCTAGAGAACATTGATTATAAGTTACTTGTTTGCATACAGTGGCTATTGAAAGTACTTACCCCCCTTAAACTTTTTCCAATTTTACTGTATAACAATATAGAATCATAATGTATTTATTTGGGATTTTTCACAATTCATCGACACAAAACACTCTACAGTATAACGTCAAAGTGAAAACAAAATTCTACAGATCCTTCCAAATTATAAATAAAAAAAATAAGTTACTCATTAGGTATTCACCCCCTTTGCTCTGACACAACTAAATAGGCTCTGGTGCAAGCAAATGTGTTTAGAAGTCACAAAATTTGTTGAATGAGCAATTAGGTTGTTTCTTATGAGTTTAGGATAAATGTGCCTATCCCTGGGATGTCCCACAGTTGTTTAGTACAGCTCCCAACATAAACTACATCGTGAAGACAAAGGAACTTTCAAAGTAAATCTGGGGCAGGGTTATTAAAAAGCACCAATAAGGAGAAGGGTATAAGAAAATTTCTAAGGCACTACATACTGTACAAAGCATATTAAAGACTATTATAAAGTGTGGTAGTAGTTCAGGTGGGTAGCTGCGTCAGCATGCGTAGGCTGCAAAGGAACAAGTAATAGGTTTATTCCATGCTGAAAAAAAGAAGAAAGAGAACACAACGTTTCGGCCGTGGAGCCTTCTCCACACCTGAAGAAGGCTCCACGGCCGAAACGTTGTGTTCTCTTTCTTCTTTTTTTCACAAGGAATAAACCTATTACTTATTATAAAGTGTGGAAGACCGAGTCAAAAGGTCAGGACAGTGACTATGCGAGGGAAAGGTTTTCTGTTCGCACCTAAGACTACTGCCTTAGGTGCAAACTAAAGCCTGTGATTCCTCACACCCATTCAACCAGAGAGAAATGAAACAGATTGCAGGATGCCAAATGGCATCTTCCTGTCCTGTTTGTTTGACTTCTGACCTTTATGTTCCTTTGATATGTTAAAGTCTTGCCTACTTTTAATGTATAAAAAGGAAAGTATAACTTCAGTCCAGTGAGCATGTCTTCAGTGCTAGGGGAAACCCTATCTCTGTGATGTGGAAAATGTTATTGAAAAATAATATTTTTTACACAAGGTATGGATTTCCAACATTCAGTTTTGGTCTCTTTTCATCACACGTTGTCACGACCGCCGGCCAGCAGAGATCAACCCACAAAAGACAGTGCCAGACAGACAACCCACAGTGCTAGCAGCGGGTTGATAACAACAAGCGCCGCCGCACATGTTAATCTATCAGCACACACCCTACTGTGTGGCAGGCAGCACTATTTAAACCATCCAAACCCGTTTCCTGCTGTGCGGTATTGATTCCTCTCCTAGAGAGCTCTTATCTCACCTTTGTTTGTACCTCTCTTGCGATACTTCTCCCAGCTTCTGAACTTCCCGCTTGCCCTTCGACCTTGAGCCTCGCCTGACATTTTGGATTGTGTAGTACGGCTGTCTCAGTATCTATTGGCTTTCGAACTACCTTTTGCCTTTCGACCACGAACTCACCTGACATTTTGGATTGTACGTCTGTTTCAATATCTACCTTCACCTTCGTCTGCATAGGATCCTCATACTGTACCTCATCACTGGGATTCGTCACAAGTATGTCTAGTAGAACAAAAAAATCTCCCTTTACTTTAAGAATTTTTTAATTGAAACAAAATAAATAAAAATTGATTATTTTATACTTTACTAGTTCATTTTAAAATTGGACAAAATAATTTTAACATCAACATTATTCTATTTTATTGGGTTATGAACAAATACAATTTATGGACAGCAGATTTAATTTCCAAATCCTTCTCTCTCACATCAAATTATTTTAGTTACATTTCTCAGGCCGATTTCCTGTTTATTACAGTGGCTATCAAAAGTATTAACTCTCCTTGGACCTTTTTTACATTTTATTGTTACAATATGGAATCTTAATAAATTTTACTGTGAGTTTTTGTTATTGATTGGCAGAAAACACTTTTTAATGTCAAAGAACAAAATTCTACATATCCTTCTAAAGTAGTTATAAATGTAAAATGGAAAATAACTGATTGCATAAGTTTTCACCCCCTTTGAGACAATATTTGGTAGAGGCACATTTGACAGAAATGATAGCCACAAGCCTCCTTGAGTAAGTATCTACCAGCTTTGCACATTTGGACATTTGGACATTTGTTTCTTGTGCCCACAGTTTTTTGCAAAACTGCTCAGACACTTTAAGTTTGGCTGCAATTTTCAACTTCTGCTACAGATTTTTGATTGGATTGAGCTCTGGGCTTTGACTGGACCACTCTAGCACATTTGCTTTTTTTTTTCATTTTAAACCACTCCATTGTATCTTGGCTACATGTTTTGGGTCATTGTGCTACTGGAAGATGAATCTTCTCCCATGTGTCTTGTAGATGGCCGCAGGTTTTCTTCAAGAAGGCCGAAACGTTGTGTTTTCTATCTTCTTTTTTTTCAGCATGGAATAAACCTATTACTTGTTCCATTGCATACTGTTTATTTATTGCAGATACTTTTCATCTTACAGGCATAGGTATTTTTTTTGTCCCTAGTTTTTAAAAGATGACAATCATGTGAAGTTCTTGCTGTCTCATATTAGTTTTGCAGACTGGTTTGCCATTCGGTTCCACAGTCAATGTTCTTCAGTGCCAATGTTGTTGCCTTTGTCTTGGTGGTAGGTAACTTAAAGACTACTTTATGTTTAGAATTTCTTAAATGAGTTATTTTAAGGAAAGAAAGCACTGAGGATTATTTCTTATAATGCAACAGTCTTAGGTATTGAGAATCAGGAAAAAGCACCATACTCCAGCATGGTGACATATTGGTATTACATCAGTGGTATCTGTGTTGTTCAGCTTTGCATACCATGTGGACTATTTCTACATGTAATCCTGTGGGAGTTATCCAAATAAAAAAACACTTTCTGTGGTTATGATTTCTTCCATCATGTCATTTCAAATTAAACATCTTGTTTGCACACCATACTGGCCAATTTTTATTCTGTACTTCAAACAGACCTCCAAAATCTGCAAAAAATACTTTGAATAATATCTATGAAGATAAATTTTGTTGTAATACTTTTCCATATGAACAAATGTTTGGCTTGCAGAGCAAACAAAGTTCAAACCACAGATCTATACTGAAAATATACAACAGCAAAAATAAAAGTTACATCACCCACTTGGGATTCAGTTTCATGAGGTTATGGATCTATTAAGAATTTGTCATCTGCTTCCTGGAAGGGATGAGATTTTGTGGTTATTTTTCAATCCATCTTTTTGATTGTTTTCAAATAAGCTTTGTTTATTTTTCTAAATATCTAAATTGACTGTGGTAGTCAATATGTAAAGAGAAAGCCATCTCTCTCACAAAAGAGTTTCAGATTCAGAAATTATTATTGTTGTAATAGGTAGTACTGTATATACTGTACATAATTTCTAATTTCTTAATAGCTTTCATACTATATTTTTATCATGTGTCAACTTAGCCACTTAGCATCTGTTTACAACTGCCTGTCACGGACATCCAAAGGGACTAACCGTGGGGAGCAGGAGAGCGGAAAAAGACCCATATGCGT